CTGCTAAGCCATGTTTATTTATATTTACAGTCCAAAATTGTAAAAAAATGTTTTGGTTGTATTTATATATCCAAATATACTAAAAACATAAAAAACATTTAATTATTGCTAAAGTCTAACAATAACCATAGGATCAAGTTTATAACCACATTTATTTTAATAACACTACAATATCACTATAGTTAATGGAACATTTTAAACTATTTCCACTAGGGTTCATTATACTGGCCATACAGCTTTACAATTGCTATTTTTTTCAGATAAATTATTACAAATATTTTTTTTTTACAATTTTTAATATTAATGTACAACACATAAACTTTTATAAACATGTTTTATCTTGGATTTAGTTTATACGTAAATATAACAAAATGATAAACTGCATCCTTACTCCATTGCGTTTAAATACTAGCAGAATTGCTTTAGTAGTTTTACTTTTTTGTTACACCTATTCTTCCCATACAATCAAGTAAGCTGGATAGCTTTTAGATTATTATATTAGGACAACACCTTACAGGAAAATAAATAAACTTATAAGGATATAACAAAACTCACAGCGCATGTAAACGTTGATGTATTTGGTGTCAGCCACAGGGAAGCCTTGGGTACTAGCTTGACATGAATATTGTCCAGCTTTTCTGCAGTCTGTCATTGTTAGATATGTGTCCAGTAGACCATACAAGGAGTAATCACGCAGTTCACCATGTTGTGTCAGAGATAGTCTAGGACTGGGAGTTCCATCAGCAGAGCATTTCATTACAAGCGTTGAGTTCAGGTCTACCACCAGATCTGTGTTTGTGCCATTGACAGTGAAGTTCGTTATTTTTGGTGCCCCTGAGGAGGTAATAAATGTTTATAGTTATATAGTTAACATTGAAAGATGTTATTGTTAATGGCACCTTATGTAAACATTTTAAACATTGACAGGTAATATTGTTACCGCTATGAAGGTAATAAAAGTTGACAGTGGTAAAGCATTTAATGGATGATATTGTTGGCAACAATTTGAAAATGTAATCTATTTTAAATATTTGACAATGTTAGGAATGTCATGCTAAATAAAAAAATATATATCTTTTTAGAGAAAACATTTGATTGTGTTTTGTGATATAAACTCATTTTGTGTGAAAACTTAGTATATAAGGCTGATTAACATAAAAAATAAGTGATATTTAATGAATGCCCAACAAACTCCATTTATTATATTGGAGAGCCTTTTAGCTGTAGAGTATTTCTGCTACAACATACTACAGCTGTCAAGTTGTGTACTCAGCAATTAGTTTAGCATCTACTAGTCCAACACAATGTGTTTCCATCAAAACATTTTATGTTATAATGATATACAATGGATTTTAAGAGCAGCAGTTTTATACACCAGCAGCAAAAACTACCTTCTTCAAAAGCTTTTTTATTCTGTTCAGCATAACCCAACACGTAAAACATAACATACTTGCCAAATGAGGGGAATATGATATAAATGTTCTTGTTCCACCCAAGAGAGTCACAGGTGCACAGAAAAATGTTTTATGTTTGTCTGTTGAGAGAAAATTACTATGATCAATGTACTGATAAGATATAAATAACCTTTTTTTTATTATATAAGGCACGATTGAATTCTCATTGAGTATTTATAAATAGTAATGATAATACAATACAATTGCAAAAAGCACACAACATAAAATGAAAAGTGTATTGAAGCAATTAAAATATTGTTTTTGCTTTATTTATAGGCACAGTAGGTTTCAAAATACTAAAAATAAATAGATCGATGAGAAGAATAAAGTGGTTTGATAATTTTCTTTTTAGGGATGTATTGAATGTTTTGGCTTTAGCAAATTTATTTTATAATAGAAGACATTTGCTTTATCAATTTCACAAAGGACATCTGTTATCATGTGGTCCAGGCTTCTTAAAAATGCAGGATGATATATGATAGCAATGCATTCAAATCAGATATATAAGATTGTAAATTAGTCAGGGTCAACTTACCAACATCTTCGTATGAAACATTCAATATTGTATTCCGAGTTCCTGGAACAGGTTTTGTCAAGTTTTTTATTACTACCACAACTCCATTAAAGTACCAGCCAGCATAGCCTTCATTGGATTGTTTGGTCATGTTGCAGGTACAGGTTCTAGTTTCTCCAGGATACATGAGTTTAGAGCCCTGGGATTTACAGGAAGGGCTCAAGTCTACAGATGGCAATGCTGGAGGAGATAGACTAAATGAGTAAATTTCATGTTGTATGCAAGTTTGTCTTTGGCATAGAGAAGGAAAAAAAATAGATACAGTAAATGAATTGAAATATGTGTTTAATAAAGGGAATGTCATGGTCAGATGCTAGAGCATTCAAATGCTATCATGAAAGTCCTGAGTTCAGATCCCAGGCTTGTGGTGTCCCTGAGCCAAGTCAGCTCAAATGGGTACCAGGCTAATGTAAGGCTAAAGTAAAGGCTTCTGGGTGAAGTGCTGACCAAAATATTCCTTTACACACTGAGGTTACAGATATTGGTGAACTGTACTTTATTTGCTACAAGAACCATTAGGTTTGAAAGAGGACATAAGTTTTTCTTTTTTTTTTCATTATATAGGGCTACTTTTTAAATGTGTACTACTTGATTGATGAACAAAGTAACAAAAGTAACAGTTAAACCATTAGGTAAGTCGCTTAATCTTATACATAAAACTATTTAGTAAAATACTAATGCACATTTCATCAATTGGTGTGTGGGGTGCAAGAGATACTAATTAGACACAAATTAAAATGTGGGTCCATCTATTTTATATAAACAACTATTTAGTAAAATATCAACTAACACTCAATCAACTCCTACGTGTTGTGCAAGATATTATATGTATGTTTAATCATTAAGTGCAGAAAAGCTTAAATCTGTACCTAGCATTATCTACTTTATCCGTTTATCTTCTAGAACTCAGCTATCTCTATTTATGATATTCTACAACACTACTTTACTGAAATCTGTTCAACTTTACAACAAAACCTAGACTTCATCTACTAACTAATCACCTGACTATAACCTCAATCTTTGACAAACGCTGATTGTAGACTAACCCCTACTGGTAACACAATCTATTGTATAACTGCACTCCACTGGTGAACTCCCTTCTTCAACTGATCTTGCTTTATAATACTTTATATCTTTCTATTGGTTCCTACCTACTGAACAATGGCTTCCAATGCTATTTCTAAACTTAACTACTAAAGGTGCATCACCAAACTATGCATCTCCAAATGCAACAACATAATTAATTAGTGTGAAACACTTTTGAATTCTACAAAAAAAAATGGCCATATATCATAGTAGTTATTTTATATTTAACTAATTTACTGTTAAAAAGCGAAAGCTTTTTCGAATTTAAAAAAAAAATGATCTTTTTAAAAAAATTTGGTGTTCCTGTTCTGATGAAAGCAATCTCTATCAGGTGGAAGTGTTAAATTTTATTTCATTTCATTATAAAAATTTCATTTAGATTACCTACTAATACCTACTATATTTTACACCTCCAAATGAGCCGTTTTTAACTTGAATGACATCTGAGCCATTAATCAGTTCCATGTTTACAGAATACGAATGCCATCCTGAAGTTAAGTTTTCAAATGGAACAGTCAGCATGCACCTGTCCTTGTATACGAGTTTGTTGTATTCTATTGGTTCACTAATGTAGGACACAGTTCCCGGGGCACGCATCTCAACACCCTACAGAAATTTTTGTTTGACTTTAAATTTTAATCATAGCTTCGAGATCAATATTTAAAAAAAAATAAATAAAAGCTGACCAAAGAGTTAAGATAGCAAACGTATTGTTTTATGGGAAATTGTGTAGTTCTACTTAGATACTTTCAAACAAAGGTGATTTGTGGGATGACGAGGCTGGGTGGTAGAGCACTTGACTGCTAAACTGAAAGTCGTGTTATTGGAATGACTCCATCATGGAGTGATTACCCCCCCCCCAGCCTGTCAATTACCCCCCGCCCAGTTGGACATTACCCCCTGAAGTAGCTTAAGGTACAGCTAGGGTTAGAATAGGGTTAGGGCTATGGCTAGGGTTATGGTTAGGATTAGGGCTATGGCTCAGGGGTAATGGATCGGGGGGGGGGGGGGGAGTCCTGTAGCCATTAAAAAAACAATATTTTAAATAAAGGAAGAGAGGCATAGAAGAAAATGAATGGAGAAGATGAAATTGGACAATTACTAAAATTTTAAAAAATCAGCTGAATATTCGGAAGTGTAGCAAAAATAATGAAAAAAGTCAGTTGGTGTCCCAATGACCTTTCGAGGGTTAAGTGAGAGATAAAAGAGGAAATCTCAACTAATGCAGTAACCTTTCACTGAAATATATCGACATACCTCTAGTGTGATATTAAAATCACAGCTGATATTTAAATAAACCATATCAGCGCTGCACGTAATTATCTCCTGTTTGTCATCATGAGAGAATGAATCGCAGTAAAATTTTTCTAGGGAAGCTGGACACAAAAGAAACACATGAGAATTTTTTTTAATAATGAATTTGTATGAAAACCCCAGGTTAAAACATTAGCTCCCCAATTTTCATCAAATATAAAAACAAATCAGAAATTCAATCAATGTTCATCATATAGTTCATGGTAAAAGTTCAAAGTTAAGTTAAATATTTGGTACAGAAATAGTATCTGATAAAAGGATAAAAGATACAATAAAAATATGTTGCTTGTTCAAGGGCCGTGCACCATTACATCCCAGATGTTTACTCTAAGCTACAGACATTGAATCTACCTCCTCAACAGAGTTGCCATAACAACTGTGTTCTACTGACTAAGCATCCACTACAGGACAAATTACAGTTTATAAAACATAATAATTATTAATTGGAAAAAGAAAACAGCAATGCATTACATGGATGGATTGAAGTTTTTTGCCAAAAAAAAAAAGAAGTAAACAAACTTACTACGGACAGTTTAAAAAAAAAGTATAGTTTGTGATATGTGTCCACTCACAGTTTAGATTAATCTCAAAAGAAGGGCTGATGTACACCATTTCTCCCGCTGCTGTATCAAGGGTCATTCTGGCTGAAATCTGGTGCTGACCAGGGCCTAAATTCAAAAGTGGAATTTGGAGGCTACAGTTGTTCTGGAATAATCCATTCACACGAGTCGACTGGATGTCGGTAGCATCCACAATAACTGCCACGTCCTACAAGATAATAAAAATTAATTACTTCAAAAGTTTTGTTCAATGTTACCATCATGTGTTTTGCGTGTGTTTATATATATATATACACATACACACATATACACTGACAACTTACAGTAGTGTTAATGTGAAATTTGCAATCCTTCATTTTGTCTACAGCTTCTGATGAACATTTTATAGAGGCTATTCTGTTGTATACAGTGGGTCGTGTGCAGTTAAGGGCCTTTAGTGCAGCTGAAATTTAAGTCAGATTGTTTTGTTTTTTAATGAACACCAAAAGTTAAATAAAACGGTACTCTTAACTACTTAAGGTTTTCACATTTTCTAACCCAACCCCTCTCCTTTCATGATATAAGTCCTTTTTCCACTTTTGGAGTGGGGCAGTTTTTATAGAAAACACCTTTTCATGTGTTTAGCAGATGTATTCTTATAATTAATTTAAAAATATTTAATCTATGCAAGGCTAATAATAATGAAAAATTACGGTCATCCTGTAAATAACAAGTTAGTAGACTCTAGATAGATGTAAATCTAGATCTCTATAAGATGCTATTCATTATCTGTTGTTGCCTACTCACCTGCCATGTTAATAAATAGGCACACACATGTCAGAAATATTGTAATTGTGCTTAATCTTGGCATTGTTGAACTTGTAAATCTTGAAATTTAAAACACATAAAGAATAAAGCTTAGTCTCAATTTTAATATTTATAAAATCACTTAATGAAAGTATTAGATCTAGGTTACACCTAACAGTAGGAAATGCCTCAACCTATCAAATTAATAGTAAATAAAAAAGAAAAGAAGATAGAACTCACACACTAGATGTATTACTTACTAGATGAAGTGAAATGCTAAAAAGCCAGTGACAAATGTTTGATCAAATCTATTTTTTTAGCTATTTATCTGAAACAAATCTTAAACCAACAACAGTTCATTTGTACTTGTCGGCCCAAAAATTATCTTGTTTCTTTATAAAGTACCCAGCTAACACAGTATGTAATACCAGGGTCGGCCCAACCTTGGCCCAATGTTGTAATCATGGCCAAACATTGGACAAGCTTACGCCAGGGTACAGCCAAGATTTGTACATGCTTGCATCCCTTGATACCTTGATATTTAACCGTTTTTACCTTGGCTGCCAAGATTACACTGATTTATGGATTCACTGCAGAAATTTTAGTTAAATATGCTTGTTAAACTTAATATATGTTAACTAAAATTAATTTATCTTTTAATATCATGCTCTAATGTAAACATAGCATCAATAACAGACTACGTTGCATGTGTTAAACATTTTGTTAATCTTTTTAAAATTGTGTGCGCTACTGCCACCGGCCCCCTGTCGCCCATTGTCCCTTTGTTCACATTCCTTCCTATTGTTCGCAAGCCAGCATCCCGGTCCTGCGCCATTTTTCTTAACAAAAGACTTTGTATCCAGTCACAGTGAAACAGGTAGGCCCACTGTAGCCATTTTAGTTCAACAGTGAGAAGTAGTATAACTGTATTTATGCAGAATCTGGAAAACTCGTATTTTTTTGTTGGAAACTTTAACTTTATGGGCCTAAGTCATCAAATAAAAGTTATAAAAGGTAGTTTATTTGAGGTAATAAAATGAGCCTAGATCTAGATCTAGTCTAGATCTATATATTAATAATACTAGAGTCTATATTCTGTTTATTTTGGCATTAGGCTATAATTACATTTTACAATAATCTCCTTTATGATAGATCTAGATAGATCTAGATTCTAATAATACTAAATAACTAAAAATCGTAATCAGAGGGCGGTTAATTTTGACAGCACTTTTTTTTTGTATTGAAAAGTATGCAAGTACGTTTGGGGTTATATTGATTATTGATAGATCGATGTATTTATTGGTTTTCAACTTTAGGTATAATTATCACGCACAGGGAAAGGGGGGGGGGGGGGGGCTTAAATGTTTATAAATTAATAAATAATTATTCACTTTAACTTTTTAAAAAAACTTAATTTTATTGTTCTAGGCCTATTTGTGTAAGGATTTGAAACTGTCTTTAATAATTAATTCAGAGAGAGAGAGAGAGAGAGAGGAACAGTAGACACAATTATAGAACAAATTTCTACATGTTAAACAGTGTATTTTGATAGGTATTAATTTTGAAAAAAATTAGTCAACTAGAATTCTAAATTGATTCAAGATTGTCATTCAAATTTCTATTACTGTTACAGCTCCCTATGGGAGAATAAGATGTCATCATCATCACTCCTTTGTGGCCCCTGGGGAGCAAAGGGCTGCAACCACACATCTCCAGCGGACTTGGTTTTGGGCTGCTCCTCTAATCTGTGCCCATGAGAGCCCAGCTGTTTTCGCCTCCTCCTCAACCGTTCTCTTCCATGTTTTCCTTGGCCGGCCCACCCTCCTTTTTCCCTGGGGATTCCAGTCTAATGCATGTTTTGATGAATAAGATGTAAGTTGTGTAAATAGTAGTGTGGAGACCTCAGAGCAACACTTAATTTCATGACCAACAGCGATAAGATGGTACTATTAGTAAGCCATACTTAATGATCAACACTACTCATATTATCATATAGAGGACAGAGTAGGCAAATGGTTGAGGACACTATTGCTAAACATAAAGCCAAGTTAGTAGTACATTCATCAGTTCACCTAAGTCTGATATATACCCAATTTAAGACTATGAAATAAAAAAGGTGGCTAGATATAGTGTTGACTACACAATCCTTTATATACAGAGATCAAATAAACAGAGATACTTAAAAATTAGTATCTAATCTGGCTATCATTTATTGTATCACTCACTCATTTTATTATTATATTTAATAACTAAGAATGCCATTTATTTTCAGGCCTCCAGGTGTTGTGTATATCAATCAGCCCACTGGAGATATATCAATCTTTAATAAATTATAAGGTCCCCACTGCTTGATACTTCACCAAATACTGGCTACACCAGAAAATGACTAAATGTTCTTAACACTTAACAACTGTAAGTTTACATTGTTTCAAAGTGAATAATAATTTTCATTTAGTAATTTTTGCTTGCATGTAATGATCAGCATGTGTAGTTAATGCCTTTACTGATATTAGTAAAATAATTTCAGACCACAAGCATTACTTCTGGGTCACTCTAATCATTCAATTACTGAATTGATAAAGTTGATGAAATTGCTCAAAAGTTGTCTGGCACCTTCTTAACTCAGAGACATAGGGTAGGGGGTTTATAATATTTATATACATACTATTATTTTTTTTATTACCAGGTCTTTTTTTTCACTTTTGTTTATAAATATATATATATATATATATATATATATATATATATATATATATATATATATATATATATATATATATATATATATATATATATATATATATGCAGTATAAGTGTTACCTGGGTAGCATGAACACCCCAGACCACCAGTCTTTATACCTATATAATATATCGTTACAAGGTAGCAAACATGATGTTAGGGGCTTCTTGTTGTATGTTCAGATCAGTGCAAAATAAAATAAACATAATAAATTTAGTGCAAAATGAGCAGTGTATGGTTGTAATTATTTCATAAATGACATTTAGTGTGTAACTTTTCTTTTTTAGAATGTGGATGGATTATGACATACCTTGCACAAATCAACAACCAGGCTTTTATTGGATTTGAATCCCAAAGGAAAGAGAAAGTTTGTTATCCAAAACAAACATGGAAAATATCAGAAACCAACAAAACACAAGCAGGCAGAGTGTTATGGACACAACTTTGGGGAATCTCCTAAAACCAAGTATAAAAATAGAGAGGTGTGGTTGTGTCTCTCAGCTCCACAAGGGTCCACAAGAATGAGGACAACAGTGATTTTCGTAATAATTTTAGATCAGATTTTAAAAAAAAAATTTGATCAGATAGATCAGGTTAACAGTTTAATACATATTGCATTTAAGTGCTTAACGAAAAGAAAAGATGCTCTTACCAAAATAGTCTAAGAACAATGCTGATTTTAAATTAATAAATTGTTTCCTTTTGTTATAATATAATAATTTAAGTTGGCATTGTATGTATGTTTAGTGTAGATTTAATGCCCTAAATGAAATATACAATTGACATTTTTTTCTTTAAAGAATTAGTTGCAAATTTCTTTCATTATTTAGTTTCACTGTACAATCTGAAAAAAGCTTGCAACATTTGTATTGACAATACTTCTGCTGGTGATATTTATTTCTAATTAATGAAGTAAATTAATATATATTCAGTTTACTATAATTAAATACCTCATACTCGAGACAAAAAAACATTTATTGAATATCGCAGTGATATTCCTGTTCTACACAATGCGTATAAACCCTCGAACCATCTGTCTTTTGAAAGATTGTACATTTTGTATACACAATGGCATTCATTTCAACACTATTTAACCACAATTACAATCTAGAGATCCTGAACATATTTTCGTTCTGTTATTTATGGACAAGGCAGACTGGTCCAGCATTAAAATGTAAACCTTAATTAGAATACTTAAACGAGCTATGCAATTTAATGTTGTTAGACAAATATTTTATACTTTTTATTTTTAATGTTATGTTTACGTATCATAGTACAAGACAGCTTCTGTATTCTTGTACAGTAAATTAAGTTTTTACATTAGTTTAATTTAAACTGTAGGCCTGCTTAACATCTGTTACATTATATGAAAATGTTTTGTATATTTGTTTTAATTTGTTTGTATAAAAGTCAAAATGAAAGTTACTACACTATTATTTACATATTCTTTTTCAATCAATACTTTATAGTATAGTTATAATTTTCTTACAATTGAATGGATGGTATAATACAGATTTTAATAGATGAGCAGTTCTTGTGTATGTATTGCTGCTTTACTACATTTTGATTAAAATTTCTTTCACATTTTGAAATTACCTTTGTAAATATTATGACTGATATGAGAATGGATCTTTTTGTATGCTAAAAATAAAAATTTGAGCCAAGATGTAGCCAGGATATAATACAGGCTGAGCCAAGGTATAGCCGAGATATAGCCATTATTGGGCCAAGATGTAGCCAGGATATAATACAGGATGAGCCAAGGTATAGCCAATATTGGGCCAAGATATAGCCATTATTGAGCCAAGATGTAGCCAATATTGGGCCAAGATGTAACCATGATATAGACAATATTGGGCCAAGATATAGCCAATATTGAGCCAAGATGTAGCCAATATTGGGCCAATATGTAGCCGGGATATAGCCAATGTTGGGCCAATATGTAGCCGGGATATAGCCAATATTTGGCCAAGATCTAGCCAATGTTGGGCCAATATGTAGCCGGGATATAGCCAATATTGTGCCAACATTGCGCCAACATCATGCCGAGTTTCACTACCAATGTTTGGCCAACGTTAAGCCAATGTTGCACCAAGATGTAGCCAATATTGGTAACCAATGTTTAGCCAATATTGGGCCAATATATGTGTGCTGACTGGGTAAGAGATAAGCTCCTGCGTCATACAACATTGTGAAATCTAGTCCAAGGTTTAACTCCCGATGTTACTAGAGACTGTGGAGAAGTGGCGAAGGGGTGGGTTTTCAACCTCTCCCATGGACTCACCTTTTCAAGAGAAATCCAATCCATGTTATTGAATGTGGGAGAGCTGTAAGGAGCTACTACAGGGTAATGGTAGGCAATAGTAAACCTATTGGAGGACACATACAATGATTGCTTAAGAGAGGACGAAGGAATTCATTTTAATTAGTCATTTATCGATCTGGCAAAATGCATACTTATTCTATATATTTTGTAATTTTTCGCAATGGTGTCACCCCCGAAATGTTGCCGCCTTGCGAAGTCTGCAGCCCCGCCCCCACCTTGTGACGCCTCTGGTTATGGGTACTACTTGAGTACAGTTGGGATAAGTTAAATAGAGATCAGAGACATGCCTATTGTAACGATTATGTATATATATATATATATATATATATATATATATATATATATATATATATATATATATATATATATATATATATATACGAAAGAAATTAAAGTAATCGTGGTGTTGTGAAATTAAAATTGTTTAATGTGGTTCCATTGCGGCGGGGGGTTATAGCCCCAGGCACACCTTGTACCTAAGATTATATTGCCCATTCTATGTATAAATGCGATAAAAGTAGTTATTAGGTATTCTGCAATTTTATATTTGTAATAACATATTGTAAACGAAATGCGTCTTAAATTCTATTAAAATGGGCTTTTATATTTGTATTTTTGTATTTTGCAATCATATTATGTATTTCTTGCTGTATAGTCTAGATTTTATAATATACTTATATATTCTATATTCCATAATCCTATATCGTTTAGTAATCTCTGCCCTAATGTTTTCTATATTGAATAATCAATATTCTGTAATTCTAAATTGTGTATAAATTAATCATACAATCTCTAAAATTAACCATAACTGTGATCCCAATTAAAAATCAGCAACCCACTGTATTCATTTATATTGTATAAAATAATTTAATTTTCAATTTTAACCGAAGATACATTTTAAAAATATTAATGATTATTAGCTCTGTAAAATGAATGGTTGTTTAATTTTTCTTATATTGAATTTTTTAAGCGATTAATTAATCGAAATAGTTCTATTCCGTTAGCTAGTTTGTACAGTTTATAACTATAATTAGAGTCTCAACGACAGAGTGAAATGAGAAAAAAATGTATAGCCTTATTCTATACCGACACTGTCGATGAGCAACTTAACGACACGTTAATTATCGATTTAAAATCAGGTTTTGTAAACTGTATTAGAAACTGATTAATTTAGACAATAAACAGTAAATATTTTAGAAAGAAATTGATATTTAAAATAAATAAAAACTTCTGAAGGAATTTGTTGACTGAGGTGTGACGTTATTTTAGGGGGGGGGTCTGGCTTTCTGTTGAGATGCAAAAATATTTAAAAAAAGCGTTACGTCATTTATGGATGACCCTTGAACAGAACACATTTTCCATTTATCTCTATAACAAAAACATAATAAATGCATTTATAATCAGGCCTACTGGTTCAATTTGTTGTTTAAATGTTTATGTTTTATCTTGTTCAGTCAGGGTCAAATATAACATACACAATTTAGTGTGACTTGTACTAGCTTTTAACCCCACATTTCACTATATGAAAAATCCAACAGGTATATTTTCGGAAGAGTATATTATCGGACATTGGTATTACAACTAGGCTGAACACAGTCGAAAGATATCTACACTAGACCTAGGCCTAGATTTAGAAATACTAGTTAGTCCACTGATGTCAAAGGGTTTTACAGTTTGCGCAAAAGATCTAAATTTAGAATCAAAATGATAAGGGATTACCTAATAGTCCTAGACTATTTAAATCTCGTTCTGTAAATTTAGATCTAGACTGTAAGTGCGGCTTCTATTTTAAGAAACTTGGGGCTAGTCGGTTAGATGTATTACAAAAGTTAGTACATAAGCTGTACTGTTATTACAAAAAATACGGAAACATATCTTTTTCGATAAAATAACTTAAATTGTTTCTTCTTATTAGTGGACAATTATATTATTTTAGATCTATGATCTATCATATTTAAAGTTCTTTTTCAAGGGGTTCAGAGAACATGCATGTTATGAGTAATTCGTAATTGTCACGCTTTTTTGGACGATTTTTGACTCCACTCCTCCTGTCAACAACAAAATAAAAAAATAAAAAAAGGAAAGAAAAACATTAAACTCAGTTTGTAACACTACATTTTAAGATATTATAAAGCGTGACGTCATTCTAATCCTTCTGAACCCCTCCCTCATCCTCTCACACACATGTAACACAAGTTGACATCCCCCCCCCCTTTTTAACCCCTATTCACAGGTGACTGTGACGACGCATAAAATAGTTTTTTATCTTTAAAAAATCATAATATTATTTCTTTAATATTGTATCGTCATTCTTAACCAATGTATTTAAGTAAAAAATCGCCCTTAATATTATAAACAAACATCACATGCTTATGATTCACACGACTACATTGCTTGGGAAAACCACGCTATTTATAACTGTGCGACGCAAAGCGACAACACTGATTGGTTCATAGCTTCGGTGGTTTCCGATAAAGCTCTCGTATAA